GAATTAATTGGTTATTAATGATTAATGAAATTTAGATTTAGATTAAAGTGGTAGAGAGGACTCTCACTTACCAAAGAGTAAAATCGTTAGAGGTAGCCACATGTTGTAAACCGTATCCAACGAGAAAGTAACGATGCCTCCATTCAGCCTGCAATTTATACTTTGATTATGTCAACTCAGCAGTTGAGAGAATTTTCATGATTTTGCCTCCTCAGCCACGCGTCATTCATCATGTTTTTCCGTTTTGCTATTTCTGTCTTCCTTCTATTCTAGCTTTCGTATTCTATTCTAGAATTCTATCGTTCCCTCTCAGATGAATCTTTCAAGAAATAATCATTTTGATAATAATTTTATTAGGACGAACCGATTGAAAGTGTCTTTGTGTTCTCAACTGAAAAATACGTGAATGATAGATAATGAAATTTGAGAAAATCTGTGTCATTTCGTATCATTTCGTGATCTAAATTCTATAATAATATTCAAGGTTTAATAAAACAGTGAAGAAAGATTGTGCAATAACAGATCGTTTTAAAGAGAAAACTTCGGTCTTTAAGACCATGATAAATCTGATTAAGAAAGAAATTTGTTCTGGTTCTTGGAAGCATTTCAATTTTGACGATTATCGAAAATAAAAATATCCTGACCTTTTCGCCAACTACACGAGGTAAAAACATCAATTCAGAACTTGAGGCAAAATGAAGATCAAATAGATCATTATCGATGATTTTTGTTTATGAAGTTTTATATATCGAAAATTCTTCATCGTTATTTATTCAGTTTAATTAGTTGTTTTTCGAGAATTATGAATTGTATACATTATAATAATATAATATAGATTATATATATAGATTATCATACACTTGTGAGAAATTTGCAAGTGCAATTATATAATATAGATTATATTATATTATATTATATTACAGATGCATAATATAATATAATATAGATTATCATACACTTGTGAGAAATTTGCAGGTACAAAATTTACTATGCAAAAATATATCAAATACGCAAGTAAGGTATATTTTATTATAACATTTAGTAATAAATTTCCATTTAAATTCCATTTCTGTTGATACGTTCGTGAAAATATCGAAATACAAAATCTAATGATAATTACGTAAGATACGTGTAAGTACAACATTGAAAAAAACAAGATTGATGTTTTGGTTCTGATGTGTAGAATGCTTACACACGTAAGGCCACGGGTTCACCGCGATAATATTTGATTGGACGGACAGTTTTCGTGTTTTCATCATATTAGATATAAATTACAGAATTATATATTATTTTTATTGAATTACAGCCAGTGATTTAATCTCGATTTTTCCAAAAAAAAAAAATTGTTGTTGCTTGATCGAGAGACAACCCTGAACGAATTCGTCGACATTCTCACAAACTTCGAATTTTTCTCCCCTTCAGAAGTCATATCCTAATCAATCTTATAAATCAGAAATCATAAAAAAAACGATTTCGTTTCCTTAGAATGAATAAATTTACAAACCTAGATCACTCGTTGAGAAGAATATGAGAAATGAATTAATCAAGAAGTGAAGTTGATCAGTTTGACTTTTGAAAGACACGATTATACGAGTGAAAGTGAAAACTCTTACAAATTTCATAATCATTTAATTTAATTCTGTAATTCTTTCTTGTGGATCATGATTTGCTTCTAACGTTCCATTTTAGACGACAACATCTATTTAATTTCAATGATGTTCAATACCAACGATGGCGTTCAATTTTGTTTTGTTCAAGGTCGGGGAAGAGAGTTCAAACAGAAAAGAATAATCAAATGGACAGATACGTAAAAATGTGGTATATTTCTCGACATTGATTTTTATTAAAATATATACTCGTCTTAATTAAAGTCTCATCTCTCACTAATAACTCTGTTCATACATGTACATACATTATATCCTCCATTCTAAAACCATGCACAACAGATCTGGCAATAATCATTCAGCTCACGAATAATAATATCTTAAATAGAAAGCGTTTTATAAATATGTATAAATTTAGTATGAATTAATCGTTAATTAGCGCGTACAAGCAATGATTTCGTGCTTGGACAGGTGGTGTTATCCGTGTCGACATCCATTTTGGAAATTGTCGCCTTCAAAATCGTGGTCGTTGATTCGTAATTCTGAAAAAGATATAATTAAGATTAATCAATTAATTGTTGCTTGAAAGGACATTGAATGATGTGGAAATTACTTTGACTAAATCTATGATATTTGAAGGAAACTACGAATGATTAAAGTCTGCATCAACCTAATGTAGAAATTAAATGAGTAAATTTAATGCAAAAGTGATGAGGTGAGAGTCATTGTAAAATTACATTCTGCATAAAACAGAATGGAGAGTAATACGAATCTAATGTCTAATCGTACAAATATTTTAGAATGAATAAATAATGAAATGAGTGCTATCTAAAAAAAATTTTTTAAATAACGTAGATAGCCAAATATCAATACTATAAAATGTATGACGTGCTTCCAATTTAACATTTTATAAACTTACTTTTATGTTCTACATTCTAATCAATCTAATACTCTAATACTTTAATTTTTTAATATTGTATAATCTGCGATACTCTAATATTCTAATAATCCAATATTCCAATATTCCAATATTCCTATATTCTAATATCCTAATATTTTAATACTCTAATATTCCAATATTCTATTATTGCAATATTCCAATTTCCATTCTGTCGGACATAGCTGTTCAAATCCTTAAATTAACGATTGTACTTAAACGTATTTCTATTCTGGCTATTAATACGAAATTATTTACAAAATAATATGAAAGGATCAAGAGATCAAACAAACAGTATATATAACAATTTTTTGCAAAAGCTCGCTATCTATGAAAATAATATAGGAAATAGGAAATAATTGTTGATTGGGAAAATATTGATCTACGAGTCATGTGCATAGTTGACAGAATAAGCAGTGCTTATCCCAATTTGTTTGCACTGTTAGACATATTCATTCAGAAAAACAGATTGCAGTTCAAGATGTTGACATTTTACATCCGGTTTCCGTAACTTTCACGTATTATCGCTGAGTTGCAACATCGGGTTATCGATATCATTCAATGAAAAACTCTAGAAATTTCATTCACAAGTGTTAGAAACGGAACGCTCTGGCATAATACTTCTGCCTTCCATTCATACATCTTCCCCCTATACTATTCTGACGTTAACATAAAATTAGAATATAGTAATTATTAAAAAATAGAATTCAAATGTGATATAGAATACTAATATAATATGAAATTTAATATGAAATTCGAATTAATATAGAATTCGAACTTTGATATTAAAATTTTGAAAAATTGTTTAAATGTTAGAATTTCCAACGTTTCGACATTATTCCAATATTCTATTACTTTTCATATCCAAATATTCAAATATTCGAACATTCCGATATTTCAATACTTTAATATTCCAGTAATCTATTGTTCCAATACTCCAATACTCCAATATTTCAATGCTCTTCTAAGCTTCTAATATATATCGAGTATTTCATTAATATTTATACCATTCTAGTATTATAATATTTTAACATTTTTACATCGTTTCAGTATTCTAATAATCCAATACCTCATGTCCTAATAATAATTATAATACTCGAATATTCTATTAATCCAATATTCCAATATTTCTAACTTTCTGTCACTCCAATATCCCAACGTTCCAGTGTTCCAGTATCTCACTAGTCTAATATTTCAAACTTTAAAGTAATAGTCACCTCCTTGTCTCCGATATCTACTTCTTCAAGGATCTCGTCCAAGGTTGATACCAAGTGATTCACATTTTCGATCGTGAACACCATTGGCGGTTTCACCTTCAAGATATTATCGTCCGGGCCGTCGCTGCTGATTAGAATCTTCCTGTCCTTCATTCTGGAGACCACGTGCTTCGCTTCCGTGGTCGCCGGGATCTTCGTGACCCTGTCACGCACCAACTCGATGCCCGCGAACAAGCCAACACCACGCACATCACCGATAATCTTTCGTCGCTTGGCCAACTTCCTCAATTCCGACATCAGATGATTGCCAACCAGCAGAGCGTTCTCTTGAAGATTCTCTCGCTCGATCACCTCCATCACGGCGTTCGCTATAGCGCAGGACACCGGATTCCCGCCATACTGAAGCGCGAAGAAGAAAAAAATTAGAAGTGTTCCTTTTCTTTTTTTTTTTTTTGGCAATTGTATTGCCAATTCTAACCTTGACTTTTCTTCGTTTCAAAAATCTTTATTTGTTCACAAAACTTATGATTATAATTATAATTTTTTTTTTTTTTTTTTTTTTTTTGTGACAAAAGAAAAGATCTTCTTTCAGATATCGTTGACTTTACTTTCCAAATAGTTTAAAGATAATTATGAACTCTTTCATTTCTAACTAACTGACTTTATTTCTAAAGTCTTATCTCGAGCTGACTTCGGAGAAGCATTTTAATAATTCTTTTCAGAGAACGAACAATAGCATCGACATCTAAATGGTCAATGAAATATCTAAAGTCAAGATATAGAAAAGCAATAGAAATGTTGAGGCTCTGGCGCCTACCGTGTTGAAATATTCTATTCCAGTGTTTTTGAAACTTTCGGCAATGGCTGGGGTGGTAATCACCGCAGCCACTGGGTGTCCGTTGCCCATTGGTTTCCCTATGGTCACTATATCCGGGACAACGTCTTCGCCATAGAGCTGGAAGGCCCACATGTGGCTACCAACCCTTCCGAATCCAACTTGGACCTCATCCGCGATGCAAACACCACCAACTTCTCGAACGTGTCTGTAATTTCGTTCAGCTAGCATTAATTAAATTCTAAACCAATACCAACTTTCTCTCTCTCTCTCTCTCTCTCTCTCTCTCTATAATAACTCCGTTAACAACTTATTAACTAAACTCTATCTAATACTAACGAACCAGAGAGCTTCAGTCTCTAATTTTCATGCTCGAGATGCGATGTACACACCTGTACGCGTTTCTGAAGTAACTCTGCGGCGGCAGAATTTGCCCACCGACGGACATCAAGCTCTCAGCGATGAAAGCGCAGACATCTTTCCCTTTGTTCTTCAGATTCTGACAGATGACCCTCACGTCATCGGCGTACCTCTCCCCTAGATCTTCGTCGGGATGGTCAGCCTCGCGGTACTTCCCTCGATAAACATCCGGGCAAGGCGCCTGTGATAAGCGAAAAATTTAATTAGAAGCAACGAACATTTTTAGAAGTTTGAGATCTTAATTATCATACAATTGCGAGAGCGTTCCTTAAGATTTTAACACTACTCGTTTAGGATTATTCGTATTTTAAATTATTAAAAAATTCTCCGACTTTATTAACAACGTTCGCTTTTAGTATTAGATCTTGTTTGAAAATGATTTGATGATTTAACCCTTTGCATTCCGAATTATTTTTCAATTTTTTTTTTTTTAGCAATTTAAAAATGTCGAGTGTGACTTGATATAAAAGTTCCTAGTGATAAAAACTGATGTCAAGCCACGCTCGACAAAGGAGTGCAAAGGGTTATTACTTTCTTTCGTATTATTTCAGATGCTTTCTTCAGAAGGAAAAATCTTTCGATTCAACGTAACAACGTAGAGAATTCTTACCACGTGGATCCAATCTTTCTTGCCAGGCCCGTTCGGTTTGTTGAACTTGTACGGCGAAATATCGATCATCGAGGTCAAATGGCCGTGATACGCACTAAAAGAAAGAAAGAACAACGTTGATACGATACAGCATCCTCTCACCCGTCTCAGCATTTTTCTATCAAGCTCTGTGTCTCTAAAACGTCATTTCACTGTGATTCTCCGTACGACGAGGACGTGTCTTCTCTCATCTCTCTTCCATCTCTCGTACATCCTGAAAATTGCACACTCTCCTCTCTTTCGTAAAATACTCTTGGCCTCGATCGAATAATTTTCCATTATTAACAGAGACAAAAAAAAAAAAAAA